AACACCCTTCAGTGGTACTCCCGTAGAGCACCCAACTTGTCCCACCCACCATGTACCACTCAGTCGGGGAGCTGGTCGAGCACCACCCTGATGCTTGCCATGCAGATGCCCCATTGAGGCGCAAACACCACCCTCACTGTCGCCCGCGGGTACCTGGAGCCAACGTGGGGTTCCCCAATCTCCATAGGGCAAGGAAGCACCGAAAATGGGAAGAGCTGTACAGGACTATAACAGCCGAGGACATTAGCCTGTTTGCAGTTGCAGAAACCCATCTCCGGGACCTGGAAGAGCCGCCTACACACCTTGACTGGCAATGGGCTGGCAATAACCGATCTGTCGGAGATCGAAAAGGGGAAGTGTGGGTGTGCTATGGTGAAGCAGTTCGACATGGACACGGCTACCAGGGAACTGCCAAGAACACAAGTGGATCGCCGGTGAAATCCTGAACATCCCCGTTATTGTCGGGGTTGTCTACTTAGGTGTGACTCAAAGACTGGATGACGCCAATTGTCAAATATTAGAGTGCATCAGAGACGATGTGGCACGCTGGGGAACAGGGAGAGAGGTGCTCCTGTTGGGGGACTTCAATGGTCACATATAGCCTCTCAATGGACACCAGGGCGCAAAGGGGTCACTCATGCTACAATTGAACGAAGGTTTATCCCTCAAGGTGGCCAACTTGCGCAGTGAATGTGATGTTTTTACATGGTGCACGAGGAACAGCAAGTCTACCATCAACTATGTCCTGATGTCATGTAAACTATCCATGCATACATCTCAGACACATGTCGACGAGGCTGGCGACCACAGGCTTAGGAGCAACCATAATCGCCTAAAGATATCGTTCTCAATGTCCGCATTACGACAATGTAGCCATACAGCGCCAGTCGAGAACACCCGAAAATACCTGCCGGCGACTGCGTACAAGGCTGTTGTGCAACAATTTGAAAAAAGCAGTTCATTCACCTCTGGTCACGTATGACGAATATATCTCGAACCTCTGTCCCATCAAGCAAAAGCATGAGGTCCTCCCTAAAGTGGGAAAGGGCGACGGCACAAGACCTGGTGGGACAATGAAGTGAAGAGGGCTCTTGAAGCACGAAGGGCTGCAAACAGAACTCACCGGCGAGCTGTCAAATTCTTTGGTCCCACAGAAACTTAACAGAGCTGGGTCTATTACATCAACTGCAAAAGGGAGATGCAACAGATTGTTCAGCAAAAAATCACGGTGAGCAATCAACGAATTCTGCAGTCGCTGATGACAGTCGGGAGAAATCGCATGGGCAAGTTCTGGTGATGCATGGCATCGCTCGACCGCAAAGTGCCCATGCATGAACTTTGGGGCGAGAACACAAGAGAAAAAATGGAGGATATTGCGCGTCATCTCACCGTCCACGTTCGAGGGGTATACGATAGCACTCGACCCCATGACTCGCCCACTTCTCCCACAGCACGCAGGACCGCCAATCCCAAAGACAGCCTATGGAAAGTGACACGACTGGCCATCAATCGCGCTGTTTCCAAAATTAGCTCCAAGACAGCAAAGGGCTTGGATGGCATTACGGTAGGGCTCGTGAAGTGCCTTGGCGAACGAGTCTGGGAACACCTAGCGACGATCTACACAGGCATCATTCAAGCGGACCCGATACCGGCAGACTGGCTACAAAGTCGTGTGTGTCTGGTGCCGAAACCAGGAGGAGATGCCAGCTTCCTCAGCGACCACAGACCCATCACATTAACCAGCATTATGTACAGGGTATTTGCCTAGGTGCTGAAACGCTGGATGAAGGGATGGGTAGAGGCGAATGGGCTCCTCCCTGAGCTACAAAACGGCTTCAGGGAACGACGCCGCCTGGGCGACAACCTGTTTGTCCTCACACAGTTCATTGAGATTGCAAGAAAGGAGTCTCGGAGTCTGGTGGCCTGCTTTTTGGATGTGGCGAAAGCGTACGATAGCATTCCACACGATCTACTGCTCAGCCACATACAGAATATCGACATGCCGTCAACGTGGGTCGACCTCCTCCAGCGTCTCTACAACAACAGCATAGTGATTGCGACTTTTGGTCAGACCAGTACGGATCCAGTGTCGGTTCGCCGAGGTCTGAAACAAGGGTGTCTGATCTCCCCGCTACTGTACTGCGGGGCTAGAACAGGGCCTCATTGAATCGGGCCTTGGCTTTGCACTACGGTTCTAGCATGCCCGGGTCGCCACAGGTCTGGACACTACCGGGATGGCCTGGTGCTCTTAGCGGAAAACATCGGTCAGCTACAGAACCTCATAGACATATCCGCCAACCACCTGGCGTCATTGAAACTGACGTTCAAGGCGAAAAAAATCGGTGGTGCTGCGTTTTTCTGGGCCAGCGAACGTACGCGAGCTGGTGCTACCGAATGGCAAGCTGATCCCTTGCAGCACCGAGTACCGATACCTCGGAGTGACACTTTGCAATGGAGAGTGCTATGCCATCCACGAGGCCAAGATGAGGCAGTCGTCACAAAAAGTGATCGGCACCCTAGGGAAGTGCTGCCTATGGGGTTTCAATCGGTATGCGATGGTACACGAGCTATGGAAGGCAGTACATGTGCCTTGCCTGACGTTTTGCGAACGCTGTCCTGTGTTTATCGACGAGCACCCGCGAATGGCTAAAGCATGGACAGAAAGAGGTGGGCCGGATGGCCCTCGGCTGTCATGGAAGAGTGGTCACGGAGGCAGTCCAGGGAGATATCGGCTGGTCATTGTTCGAAGTCAGGGAGGCGTGCAGCAAAATAGCGTTTGACGCCCCCCTCCGGCGTCTGAGCGACTCGCGGTGGGCGAGGCGCATCTTTCGGTACCTCGCACTCAAAGGTATTTAGACCCAGTGGTCGAATAGAGTTCACCGGCTGCGCGGAAAATTCGGCTTCTGCGGCGAAACGGACAGTGGCTCGCCCAAGTGCCTCACACCACGTTCGGTGCGCACTCAAGTTCGAGAGGTGGAAAGCGGCCAGTTGCGATCAGGAGTGCGCTTAAGTCCACCCTGTGGATGTATGGTCAACACAAGGCTGAACCATAGCATGCTTAACCAGGCAGGAAAAAGCTCTACGACAATAGTGAGGCAGTTTGAAGTGCGTGCAGGAGCGTTGCGTGCGCTCACCTACCGCCGTCGCTTCGATCACGACCCGCAGGTCCAAGCTGCCATCTGTTGCTGCTGCGCTGAAATGAGCGAGACGGCTGAACACTTGATTCTGGATTGTGCCTGTCTTTCTCGACAGCCAGCAGAGGGCACCACTCTTCCACAAGCGCTCGGATTTGCAGCAGAAGATCACAACGCCACTGCCGTGTCGACAACAAAAGCTCGTCTACAAATGTGGTGGAGGGCTGCGGTGCAATAAGGAATGACTGGACAGACACGGCACTTCTAGAGTGCAAAAAGACTTATGTGACAAGTGTGCGCCCCGCAGTCTGTTCTGAGACTTCCTATATCTCGTTTTTTTTTCTTTTTTCCTCTTTTTTTGCCGGCTAGATCACACTATCTGTGACCACCCGATTCAAAGGAAACTGCCACCTATCATCATTTTGGAACCGAAACTGATCGATAATGAAGGGCCTCTAATTATCTCTCGTGGGCTACAGCAAAC